TGCGTGGACTGGAGCATCTTCACAAGAAGTATGGTTCACTGCCGTGGTCGGTCCTGGTGCAACCCGCAATCAGGACAGCTCGTGAGGGCTTTCCCGTCGGTCGGGATCTAGTGAGGTACATGAAATCGGCGGTTGGTGGTGGCAAGGACTTCTTAGTCGAGAACCCGACATGGGCGCTCGATTTTGCCCCCAATGGCACCCGGGTTGGACTCGGAGACATAATGACTCGGAGGCGCTACGCTGATACGCTTGAAACCATAGCAAAGAAAGGCCCGGCTGCTTTTTACTCAGGACCTATCGCGGAGACAATGATCAACGCGCTGCAGGCTGCGAATGGCACCATGACGTTGGAGGATTTGCGCAACTATACCGTAGCCATTCGGAATGTGTCACAGATTGATTATCGGGGGTACCAGATTACAAGCACAACAGCTCCGTCGAGTGGTACTGTTGCCATGAGTATTCTGAAAATTCTGAATACTTATGATGACTTCTTCGCCCCGGGTAATGTGAACTTGAGCACACACCGACTGGACGAGGCCATGCGTTTTGGGTATGGTGAGGTATGTCGAATTAATTTTTATCAATAAGCAGCGCTAGGATTCTACTGACAAGAGTCTAAGAGAACTAAATTCGGTGACCCTCTCTTCGTTGCTGGGCTGGATGAGTATGAAGAGGACATGCTGAAGCAATCCACAATTGACGAAATCCGACGAAAGATCTCCGATGTCCGCACGCAGAATGTGTCTGCGTACGATCCGCAAGGAATTGAGAGTCTGAATGAGTACGAATATCCTCCGTCTTCTTGGAGTTCTTTACTAACAAGCCAAGTTCGGGTACATCACATGTGGTAGTGGCAGACCATACAGGCCTGGCGATCTCCCTCATCACAACCATTAATACCCTCTTTGGCAGCCAAGTCATGGTTCCTGAAACAGGAATCATAATGAATAATGAAATGGACGGTAAGGGCTGCGCCATTTGGTCCCATTCAGCTAAACTAATCGTTTCATCAGATTTCTCCATTCCTGGAAAATCCAATTCATTCGGATATATTCCTTCAAAAGCAAACTACATTCGCCCTGGAAAGCGTCCACTGTCTTCCATCACACCGGCCATAGTCACACGTCCGGATGGAAGGTTATTTTTCCTCGCTGGCTCCGCTGGTGGTAGCCGGATTATAACAGCCACTGTGCAAAATATAATCCGCGTTATTGACCAAGGACTATCGGCAGCGCAGGCATTGGCTCAGCCCCGTTTGCACGATCAGCTAGTGCCAAATCAGGTCAGCTTCGAGTATACCTATGACAATTCAACCGTCGATTTCATGAAGTCTCGCGGTCATAATGTGACCTGGGTAGCTCCAGGTCAGAGCACGGCGCAGGCCATCCGGGTTCTGCCGAACGGGACATTTGACGCCGCTGGAGAGCCTAGGCAATTAGATTCAGGGGGTTTTTCGATTTGAGCATTGCTGCGAAAATCAATTTTACGAATCATGCGTCCAGGAAAGCATAGATACAATTCAGGTGACAGGACACCCCTAGGACTGTTTGGCTGGTATGATCGTCCTGGGGTGCGTATTATACATATCCTCCAGCCTTTTTATTCACAGCAATTTAAACACATGTATATACGGGAAATGAGATTACGGTTCTTGATTTGTCGGAAACTGACCCCATAGGTAATTTAATTCAGTAGCATCGATGAGCTGCATGCGCCGTGCTATGGAGCTGCTGGGCTATGCAGATACCAGTTGTCTTGTGTCTTGTCACAAAGCCGACAGGCTCTTGCTTACCTTAAGATAAACTTATCGCCCACGCCAGACGAAGCTACCATATTCCAGTGTAGCAACTTCCGACGCAGTACTATACTTGGACGGCACAATACTAGGACATGGTACCTTTGCGATGACTTTTTTCCCGTTTTTAGCAGTCATCAACAAAGCTTTGTTGAAGCCACTCCGCATCTTCTCAATCTGGTCTTGGATATAGATGAGGAGACAGAGGGCAAGGACGTAACTAGCGAGCATAGAGCGTCGAGACCAAATTTTGCATAGCGTTTGGACACTCCATGTTTCTCATTGACCAGAAATCGTCCATTCGCGTATTCAAAAGTTGCCCCCGCTGAACAGGGTCTCCTGAAGGAAGCACAACTGTTAGAGAGAGAGAGAGAGTGGTTACCTGAGGACGCAAAGGGTGTAGATACCACGGCAGGTCAAGGATATTTTCCTGAGCATATATCTTGGGGTTGATGAAGTCATTTTAGAAATTCTTTTTCTTACTCTGTTCATGGTTACGCGCATTGTTGCTCGCAATTAACCGGCAGTTTGGCGAAGTCTAGCTACATACGCCAATACCGAGTTTTACCCTGATATAATGAGATCGACCACATAATTATTAGGCTTAAGGCGTGAAACAAGGTGTCATTAAATATTAGGTGTCTTTTTCTTGTGACTGATTCGATTCAGATCATCACGGTGGATTGACAGGTAAACCTTGGCACTGGACCTGTCACGTTGTTGTACCTGGATATCTCCAATTGGCCTGTGCGCCGCTTCTCCGCGTCCTCTGTTGTTGCATTTAAAATTATCCCACCAGCGGTGTTCCTCAGAATTCAGCTTATTTCACCTCATAAGGGGCTTGCAAAGAGAGCGGGGCTCTTTCAGAACTGAGCCTTTATTACTTGGACATTGTTTCTATTGGAGCCTGTCTAGCCCGACTCGAAAGGGTTCTGCATCACTGCCCTTGCTGCCCATTCAATATGCGGAAGCTATAGTTTCGCTTACTATTGTAGGGTGAGGCAGTCCGATATGACTGAGGTATGCATTTCATGTCAATGAGTGAACATTTGAAATTCTCAGTGCGAGTGTTATTCACTGACACTTTCACCATTTGTGTTAGCCGTGAAAAGGCATCACCCAGACAGAACCAACCATGTCTGACAGCACTCACAACACTAACAACTAGTGCTCCAACAACAACAAGCACATCAAATCAATTGCAGCAGAAGGAATAATCACAATAGTCTGTGACTGTATCCAGAATGTCACCTCACGCTGTCTCCGTCGTCATCTCCCCTCCCACCGTCGACTTGGACTCCTACGAACCCTTTGACGAGGAATACATTCGCACTGTGGACGAGATCCTCTCGGATGAGCCTAGCTTCGACGCCTCATTCGATGCATACAGTGATGGAATCTCCACCGACGGGGCGAATGACTCCCCACAGCGAGTGCTTGGGACTGGTCGAGCCGGTCGAGCCTCCTTCGGCAAGAGAACTGGACATACTCACAAGAAGTCGCCTTACTTCTCGACGGGCCCGATGTCTCAGCGGCGCGTCGGATCGAAGAGGAGTATTATCAGAATTGATGTCGACGAAGAAGACGATGACGAGGAGGAAGGTGAGGATGAGGATAAGGATGAGGACGACTTCACCCCTGCTACGTCGGTCGAATCCATGAAAATCCAGGTGGCCGATAAGAACATCGAGAACAATCACCGTAATAACAAAACCCATGCTAAAGCCAACGGGACCGCTGTCGAGGATGACATCGCTGAGGAAGATATCGTCTTCGCTTCAGTAGAACCGGAAGCGCAGGCTCGCTTGCTGGATTTCATTGCGTCGCATCCATTTATGCGTGATGGTTCATATCCTGCGAGGCGGTCCAGAAGGCGGACCTTTGTGTGCGAACTCTACGAACAAGCGAAATCGACTGGAATGGACGAGCACTCGATCGACAGGCTGACAAACTACGTGAGGAAGACATATCTCGAACTGTATGGAAAGGACTATGTCGATATCCAAGGCTCAGAATTTGGTGACGAGATTGATGACGTGGCGGGGGAGAGAAGAAGGTCCTCGAAGGCCTCCAAGAAGAATCGGAAGAGGAAGCGGTCGAATGGCGACACGGTTAAAGATAAATCCAAGAAGAGCAGATCGCAGTCTTCGCAGTCTTCTGAGGAGAAGTATATTGCCTCAATGGCTGACTCGCACGACGATGCCAATCCTGAGGTAATCGATCTGGAGGCCGAATATCCTCTTGAGGATTTCTTTGCCAGTGCCGCTGCTGAGCCCGAGGCCTTGACGAGCGTATCTCCTGCGGAAGAATTACCCAAGACCAGACGCCCGAGCGTCAGCAAGCAGTCCGATCGTTCGTCGAAACACGAAAGATCGAACGGCTTCTCTTGTGTCACGCCAAAGAAACGCAAAAACAGAGCAGGCGCCTTAAATTCTTCTAAGCACTCTCTACGCTCACCTGCAAATTCCCAGGACGAACCCATTTGTCTGGAAAGCGACTCCGATGGACCCAAAAAATCCGCCACGGCTGCCCCCGACGCACATCCTTCGGAGAAGCTGGAAACACTCAAAGAGAGCGTAGCCAGACCAAGGAAAGAGAGGAATAGCAAAAAGCGCCGGTATCGCAGGAAGAGAAGAGCTGAGAAATATCGCGAGAGCCTGAGGGACTCGGAGATCCAAGAGCTTGCAGCTGATGATCGGCACATTGACGAGGATGCTAGGACCAAGAAGTTCAACCGGAAGAACGGTGGTGATATCAAAGTTGATGAAGACGTTACCGTCCTTGATGACCCGTTTTGGACTCTGGATTTTTAAAAACCGATGATTCGCAAGGTGTGACCGCCAGTGATGAGGTGAAGTCAAAATATTTTATGAGCTCTCAGCAAGTGGATGGTTTGGCATCGAGTGTTTGCAGCCAGATACCTGCTACCTATTCTGCTATTTATGTTGGAGATTGCAAGCCTATTTCTGATGAAACTCGGCTGATTTTGAGCGAATTTGGCCTCCCATCTGACTTTCTGGACTCTGACTCTGACTCGGATCTAAGTGATGTGCCGAGTGACGACATTTTGGATCGTGCTGCTTTTTTGTGCGGCGTGATGCAACCGCCTGTCCAAGGAGGGATAGCTGGGCGACCTGCGGAAGGGATCCCTAGCACTCCACTGAAGAGCGCATTATCTGCAGACCCTGAAGTTCCATTCGTTATGACACTTCGTCCTCGGCCTCCTAAAGTGTCTCCTTACTTCCCGAAGCCGCTCATCGATCCCGATTCCTGTCTGCCTTTCCCTTCAATTGACGCACCCACATTCGGCTTGGTACAAGAGCAACTCACCCACGATCCATTCCGTCTGCTTATCGCCACGATCTTTCTAAATCGGACTCGCGGAGGCGTTGCTTTGCCTGTTCTCTTTCGAGTTTTTGACCATTTTCCGACACTCCACGACATGAGTACGGCTGATTTCTCGAAGTTGGTTTCCATGATACATTCTTTGGGATTTCAGAACGAGCGAGCGAAAAAATGCATCGATCTTGCCAAGACATGGCTGGCTCGTCCACCGACGAAGGGCAGTCGATACCGCAGACTACATTACCCACGCAAGATGGATGGGAAAGACGTCGGCCGCGAAGAATGCATCGGGGACGACGACACGCGTGTAGCATGGGAGATTGCACATCTGCCTGGTGTGGGCCCGTACTCGTTGGATAGCTGGCGCATCTTCTGCCGAGATGAGCTGCGGGGACTAGCGAAGGACTGGAAAGGCAATGGCGCGGCATCAGCAGATTTTGTCCCGGAATGGAAATCAGTCTTACCACAGGACAAGGAGCTACGGGCATATTTGACGTGGATGTGGCTCAAGGAAGGCTGGATTTGGGATCGGCACACGGGCGAGCGCAAACGAGCCAGCGAGAAGATGATGCGAGCTGCACGCCGTGGAGGTGTGGCTCAGGAACAGGACGGCAATTTTGTGTTGGAGATGTCGCCAGTGAAGAAGGTCGCGAATGGGCTGACAGCATGGAGTTGAACGCGTCTGGGAATTGATCTTGGTTGATTAGGAAGACGGAGTTGGGTTGCTTGGGAACAGGAGTTGAGGTCTTGAATTAGAATCAAAAGATACCCCGTAAAGAGATCGTTCATAGGGAAAATCCAGCAAAATTCCATAACCAGGAGCTTGCTCGTTATTCAAACACATGGCGAGGCATCAAATCAGTTCGTTGCCTAAGGTGTGAATGACGATGCCCGAAGTATCGTTGGAACAGCAGCAACAAGAACATATTGTAGATTCTCGTCAGACCGAAAACCTTTTACTGTCCTCTTCGCAATAATTGTCTGGAATTAAATCTGCCCATGTTGCCCTACTATCCTGTCCGTCGGGTTTCCATGCAGCACCACGTCACACTGTCACCCCCAAAATGAGTCTCCAACCCAACTGGGCCTACAAACCAGCCAAACTGCGCGGGGAAGAAACGATGATTCCACTCCTCACCGCATAGTTCTTCCCCATCAGATCTTTCCTCCTCTCTGTCTGATGCACTAATTCTTTGCTCGATCTCCTCGTGCAACACTTGATCGTCTCGATTATCCGGACTGTCAAACTTTCTTTTTATTATCACATTCTCTCTCGCATGCGACGGCATGAGTGACACAAGCGCCCTGCCCGGTATCCGACCAGTGAGCAGTGTGGCCTTCTTCTCAAATTAAGCGCCAGACGACATACTGCCAACAGACAAACGATCCCACTCCAACTGTGGCACAGCATCTCGACCTCCACGAGGTAGCGATCCTCTTGATTTGACTGCTATTTTTGACGAGGTAACTAGTCGAAAACATACAACTCCGGTCGAACAGAGACTCCGAAGAACCGACGGGATCGCATGCCCTGTCGTCTTCCATCTCTCCGTCCATTCATCCCAGCCCAGTCCTACCCATGTCGGACCTCTCTCATCCTGTCATGCTATTTCCCTTGAGACTAAATGACAGAGATCGCGACAGGGACCGGGACAGAAAGCCATCCTCCTCATCTTCCACATCTTCAAAGCCCAAACAACGTCATTACCGCTCGTCCCACGGACGGCCCTCCCGCCCTTCAACCAAGGATCGAGACCGTGACATCCCCACGGGTCACTCCTCCACCACATCGTTATCTACTCCCATCTCCGCCTCGCGCCAGCAGCGTCGGTCCTCCATGCCGGGTGTCGACGCCGCCAGCCGTTCCGCTACGGCCTCTTTTCTCGAATCGAGAACCAGTCTGCCCTACCCTACGTTCTCGAAAGCCCATAGCAGAGAGGCTGTCGGCAAACCGAGTATTCCCACGCCGGATCCGACCGACTTGACAGAGGAGAATAAAGAGGCTGGGGATGCAGGCAACAATCATCGTACGGATAGTCGACATGCGCCTCCCAGCCCGCCCTTGACGAGTCTGGATCAGGGCTCTTCCCGCAAGGGAAGCACGGTCGGCGACAAGGAAGAGAAGGCAGCAGAGGAGAAGAAAGCGAAGCCAAAGGACCTGAAGACGAAGATTCGAATTCGAGCCGAGTCTACAAGGTCGTCTTCGAGTTTGCGCTCGAAAAGAGATGAAGCGTCCAAGTCAAGCAAAACGGCGAGACCGGAGACCCCGAAACCCAACAAAGACAAGGATACACCGGTTCGGGTTGCGAGCAAAAAGTCTTCCAAAGCGAAGATCGCCGATGAGGTCAAGCTCCCCAAGCGCTCATCAAGCCGGGGCACTCTGTCCCCGCCTCGATCCCCCGCGACGGTGCGTGAAGTTGGGTCGGGGTCGGCACACGGGTCTGACGCCACCATTGCACCACATCAGCCATCTATAACTTCCCGGAAACCACAAACACCCCCTACCAAACCGCCTTCACGAAACCAAACACGGTCGTCTATGTCACACTCGTTTAGACCAGGGAGCGGTTCGCCGGTCGATATCGCATTTGATTACGGTCGACCCCCAACCGCTAATTCCACATTCGGCGCTCCTCCTCCCCCTCCTCCGCCGCCGGAGGTGCCTGTTTCTATCCCTAGAGTCGACTACCTTTTACAGAATGGCGGTCTGGACCACCGAGTACCGAAGACATTACTGGTGGGCCCGGAGCACCCAGATATTCCCCCTCAGCAGCAGTTGCAGCCTGCAGTTGCGGCTGTCAGAGTCTTTGATCCGTTCAATCGTCTTCTCGACGACTATCAACATGTCATGACCAAGAACGGGTCACTGGCTGTGGCGACGGGGTACCGATCTGTCGCTCGGCGGCTTCTCGACCGGCTAGAAGCAGTGTTTGCCCGTGACATCTCGTCCGAATCGTGTCACTGCCTGATGTGCGATCACGATGAGATGGAAGAGCGTCCATCAGGAGTGAGCTGGGGCGAGGTACTCGAGCTGGTATCTGGTCGCAGAGAACTGCCTAGCTGGCCACCGTTCATGATGGCTCCGTCAGTCGAAGCTGACTTGTCTGGCGACGAGCACATTCCCATGCAGAAGATGGACATTGACGTACCGGAAGAGTACCGTGACCATTACCTCCGGCAGTCGCGCAAGACCAAGGCTGCAGTGGATAAATGGTTGAATGAACAAGTCGCACAGCCTACCAGTGCTCCGGAGGAGGTAGATGACGAGACGTTGACCTTTGCAATGCTGACACATCTCGGCCCAGAGCTGCGTCCGTTGTTCTGTTCGCTTCTAGGCATCACGTCCACGTCGACACCCACCCCACGGACGGACGACCAGCAGCCTCGAGCTAGACCGCAGGCGCTTGTGTCATCGTCTCTTGCCATTCAACGACTCTATCGGCTATCCTCTCTGCCGCGTGACCCTGAAACCGCAATTTATATGTTGAACAACCCGGGAATTCACCATGTGCTCGCAACCCTTGCTGCGATCAGCGATGATGAATGGGATATCCTCATCTCAGGCCGGTTTGATGGATTTTTGCGCAGTGGCGCCGAGGATCCGATCCCCGGCGTCCCAGGCGCGACCCCATCACGCTGGAATAGCAGCCGTTCGAATACGCCCTTTACTACAGGAGGAATGTCCCGTGGTCCGACACCGAGCCATATGGATGGTGGCGTCCGACCAGCCAGTCAGCCCTATGGCGTTAATCCATCGTCGCCTGCATCCTTCGGTGGACCCATTGCGCTGGACGAGGAGACGGAGATTGCGGCCCTCGCTGAGATCGAGCGCGAGATCTTCCTCGGAATGGAAGCCCTCGAGGATGCCTTTGAAGCTCTTCACTGCAAGGCTGAGGCCGTCCGGCGTGCGCTGCGTGAACGCGGAGCAGGCCTGTCCATCGCTAATCAAAACCGCCGCGGATCGTATGTCGAGGCACGACTTGGCACTCCATCGTCCGCCTTGGGGGCCTGGGAGAGCGGAACGGAAGATGATGGAATTGACGATGACCGATCACTGGCGCCTGATGACTCGGCTAGCAACATCAGTTCCAATCGTCGACGACGGCCCAAGCGACGCACCGAGCGACGCACACCTGCGCCCGTCGAGGAGGAAGATGAGGAAGAGGAGGAGTCACATCCCAGCCGCCGTGATCGCGATCGAGGGTCGCGACGGAGATGACTTTGACTGAACTCTGACAAAGTTTCGAATCTACACTACCGAAGCGATGATGATAATGATGTTTTACGACTCTACCCCCAGACAGATTGATCATTCTTTTACGGAAGTCGATGGGCAGACCCAATGACGACGAGGAACGATGTAGTTACGATCGCAACGAAGCGTAGGATATGAGATGAGGACATGGGACCAGACGATGAGAATATGGATTGTACATGTACTTCCGGCAGACTGGTATTACTGCTTCTGTTGTAATTTACTCGGAGGTTGACTGAGGGTGTTACTCAGCTGTTGCTCTGAATAGCAGGCTCAATTACTGAAGCATGAAGATCAATGGATCCATCCGTTCCGTAGATGAACATCATCCACCACGAAACACGGACTCTATCCGAGCCGTCATCTTCCGGCTGTGCCTTCTGCATGTGACGCTCATCATCCAGAGACCCCTTTTCACTACTAGATAGAGCATACACGTAGCACATCGCAGTCACATGAAAATATATGCCTCGCAGGACTACCCTACACTATCCAGTCTACCAAATCAATAACATCAAAACCTCGATCCAATCAATGCAATAGCTCCTCGTGTACAACAGACAATAAACTCAAATTTACCTAACTTTGGCACCTAAAGCTTCGGACCAAGGACACAAGACAGTTAAGCCGGCTCTTGACTTTAGAAATTACAATAATAATAATAATAATAATAATAATAATAAGTAATAATGACTTACAGAGCTACGGGATACAGTACCATGGTTCATCCACCCCTGACTGAGGAATGAATCTGATTTGTTCTCGGCCTGTCCACGCGGTACTCAATAGCATTCAATAGATTGATGGTGGTGATTGGGGATAGAGTTCAGCTGGGGTATTCCCTATCTATCCAGATAGCAATTCTCAATCGGGTGTATGTTCCGACTACGTCATAAACAAACGAGTAGGGAACTGATCAGAACCCAAGATGCTGATCAGAGATGAGCTGCGAGTCAATGGATCTTGATTGATGCCATAGTTCCTTTGTTGAAGTTCAGTTCATCCTGAATCGGATATTGCTCCAGAGTTTTGAGTTTGGAACCAACGACGCGGACCACGAGCTGGCTTCCATGGATCGGGGCCCACAATCCCATGGGACTCTTGCGTCTGGTTCTGGTTCCGGTTGTCAAGTCTAACCTCGAAAGGAGTTCCGGTATACGCCGTGAGGGCTTTGTATCTAGACAAGATACACACAGTAGAAACAAAACAAAACGAACCTTTTTTTCTTCTGCTGTGTTTCTGTGTGCTGGTGATCTCTATAGAAACGGCGCATGCGGTCTGAGAGCAGGCCAGAGGATCTTCGATTCCAGAAGCGGCGTAGAAATCCGGGGTCGACGTGGCCCCAATCCCATGTGATACGATCTAGATAGATACGATACGAAGTCCTCCAATTCAAAAGGAGTTGATAATTGGAAAATAGA